GAATGTATATCAGAGTTAACACGGTTTATCATGGAATAAATCCAACTTGATGGAATTATATGCGACAGTTCAAGAATCAATGGTATATACCTTGCTTAATTAGTTTACTTCTTACTTCTTCATAACACGGTTTAAGATGGAAAAAATCCAACTTGATGGAATTCTTTGCAACACGGTTTAAGTACCAAAGACATCTCTTGCTTAAAAACTCCTCAATTAACTTCTTCATAACACAGCATTCTTACAATACACAACGTAGATCAGAGTTAACACGGTTCAAGATGGGAAAAATCCAACTTGGTGGAATTGTATGCAACAGGGTTCAAGAACTAAAGACATCTCTTACTTAATAACTTCTCAATTAACTTCTTCATAACACGGCATTCTTACAACACACAACGTAGATCAGAGTTAACACGGTTCAAGATGGGAAGAATCCAACTTGATGGAATTCTATGTAACACAAATGGTATGAACACACGGAGAGGAGCCTTACAGGGAAAGAAAGAAAAGTTAATCCTTTCGTTAGATAAAAATGTAATCTATAAAAGTACCTACATTATTATTTCATAGTGGTATTTAATTTTATCTGGAACATAAGTGGGATAGATGTAGGTAGGTACTTTTTACGTATGTGTACGTATAGTTTTGGATGTAGTTTCGTAATGGTTGTCGATGGAGGATAATCAAAAAGGACGTATCAGCCACTAGTTCGTGTAACAAGCAAAAAAGTGTCTGAGAGGGTGTTTTTCGTCATTTCGATATTGTTGCTATTAATTATTTTTAAATTGGGTCCGAAAGGCACTGAATTGAAAATAAAAAGGGACAAACATAATAGTAATAATAACAATGTGCGTTCGATAGAGAAAGTTCCGTGACCTCGGACTTGTTTCGAACTTTTCTTTTTCTGGCCCGAAGTTCTCCTCTTATTATACCGTTATATTGTGTTCGGTTCGTTCGTTGGTGGCCCGGTTGCTTCAACCGTTTTCAACAGCCTCTCTCGCTTACTGTATTTTGTTGCTCCAACCATATATGACCAACAATATAAATAATGCCTCTTTTGTTAACAGACGTACTAAGAAAGGAATTTTCTTAACGAGCTTGATGGTACAACGAGATACGTGGTACTGACAGAACGGACAGGACCATTTTCTTTTTTTTGTTTTGTTGTTTCATTTCAATCGGAATTAAGGACTGTTAGATTTATGTTAGCGGTTTTACAAAAATTAATTTCACGCGTTTGTTTTATTTTTATTTCTGTTATAAGAAAAGCAATTTTGTAAAGGAGGGGATCCTCGGGAGTTCCCCGATTCAAATAACAAAAACTAAATATTCTCATCACCAAGAGTTGTTAGAAGTTTGTCGAATTTCGTCGAAGATCTATAATAATAACGTTATAATAAAATATACTTTTTAGCATACTAACAACTAGATAGTGATTTTGCCGGGTACCAGATAACCGCGTACCCGTTATTAAATGGGCCGAGTACCTGGCACCTACGTCCCAAGCCACATAAAATACCCATTCTAACAGTTGTACTGCCGCTACTCGATGACATTATTTGATATCCGGCCGAATCCTAAAAAAAGTCCCGGTTGTTCTAGGTACCGAAACCAAACTGGGTACCCGACCATCCTTACTGACAACGAAGTTTTAATGTGCAATAATACATTATTTCAATTATTAATCATGTTGGGTCCCCTTCAACTGTGGGGCCCTAGTGTATAGCAGTCGGGGGGCTCCGACTCCCCAAAAAGTCTTAATAATTTTACTGTTTAATGACTACTTTATTGATACAGTTGTAAACCTACGGTTTTCATTTTCTTTAATACTGTTTAGTTTTCCTTAAAAAGGCATAAGAATAATCTGTGAACTTTTAAGGATGTGTCAAGCGCATCCACCAAAATTTGCAACATTTACATTTGGTCTATTTATTGGTGCTATTTCAAATTTACATTGCTGTTATTATTATTTGGAATTTAAAAGCTGTCAGTAGCAATTAATTAATTGTATGTTACGAAATACAGTTCAACAACGAATTTAAATAAGTGTGAAATTTGCATTTTTTGTTTGGCGTTAACGATACTTTTTTACGACAGGTTGGCGGGTTAACGGGTTTATCGACTGCTTCGGTATTTTTTTAACATCGATTTATTTAAAAGCCAAGTCCTTGACATTTCCAACGCAACAACAAATTTAAGTTAATGTTGGTTATACCGAAAGCTTTTTTTTTTATGTTTCCAAAAATAACTTTCTCTGCATCCACTCCAAGTAGTTAAGGTATATCAAATCTTTTAATTTACAGATTTTCACTTTAATTACTTCATTAAGTAAAACGAATAGCCTTTCAACGTGCTGCTATAAATACCAAATTGTTTTGCTGATAAACAAAAAAGAATACATTGTGTTTGGTCCGGAAGTAGCCACGGTGAATTGTTTAAAATATCTCCGGGACTACACGCAATTCGTTACTTGATTCTTTTGTTGCTGCTTGCTTTTTAATTGTTTTGAAATAGTAATACGCTATGCATTATTATTAATAAAAATTGTTTGGAGACAGTAAAAGTTTTGTGATATTAGTCTTGTAGTTAATCAGGTATATTTAGATGTGTTAGAGACCAGAATAGATAGGAAGAACCTGTTTAGCTAAATTGATGTGTTCTAGTGCAAACTGGTTTATCCTAGTCCAAGCTGGCTTGTCCTAGTCCACATGGGTTCGTCTCAGTCCATTTTATCTTGAAACTTATTTCAGCGTAAACTTATTCAACTTTGTTCAAACTGACGTGTCCTTAGTGAAAACTGGTTTATCCTAGTCCAAAATGGCTTGTCAAAACATCCTATTTCAGCAAGAACTTATTTGACCTAGTTCAAACGGACATATCCCTAGTGTAAATTGGTTTATCCTAGTCCAAGCCGTCTTATCCTAGTTCAAAATGGCTTGTCCTAGTCCCAACAGGCTTATCCTAGTCCACATGTGTTTGTCTCAGTCCATTCTATTGTGAAACGTCCTATTTTAGCATGAACTTGTTTGACCTAGTTCAAATTAACATATCCTAGTACAAACTGGTTTATCCTCGTCCAAGCTGGCTTGTCCTAGTCCACACGGGTTCGTCCCAGTCCATTTTATCTTGAAACTTATTTCAGCATAAACTTATTCAACTTTGTTCAAACTGACGTGTCCTTAGTGAAAACTGGTTTATCCTAGTCCAAAATGGCTTGTCAAAACATTCCTATTTCAGCAAGAACTTATTTGACCTAGTTCAAACGGACATATCCCTAGTGTAAATTGGTTTATCCTAGTCCAAGCCGTCTTATCCTGGTTCAAAATGGCTTGTCCTAGTCCAGACAGGCTTATCGTAGTCCACATGTGTTTGTCTCAGTCCATTTTATTGTGAAACGTCCTATTTTAGCATGAACTTGTTTGACCTAGTTCAAATTAACATATCCTAATACAAACTGGTTTATTCTAGTCCAAACTGGCTTGTGCTAGTCCAAGCTGACTTGTCTTAGTCCAAAATGGCTTGTCCTAGTCCAAACTGGCATGTTGTAGTGCACACGTATTTGTTCCAGTCTAATTTTGTCCTGAATTGTCCTATTGCAACATGAACTTATTTGACATAGTCCAAACTGGCTTGCCCTAGTCCAAAGGGGTGTGCCCCAGTCCATTTTATCCTGAAATGTTACTTTTGTAGTAAGCCAGACAAATTCGATATTATTCAGTTGGCTACCTTATTTATAATGTGCTGATGAAAACTAATCAATTCAATACTTAACGATTTTTATTACGCTTTTGTATTACACATTGCACAAATTCTCTGTAAGAGATCCTTACAAGTCTCATGTCGGACCTGTCTTCAGGCTATAAACGAATACAGATAAGACAGCACCTTTCTTAAGTGTTTTTACATTTAGTCAGCAGAATTTGCAATTTAAATATCTCTAAACACTTTACTTATTGTGTGGTGGCAATATTGTATTTTGTCTTATATTATAATCGTGGAAGTGCATGCTTGGGTTTTAGCGGCTTGCAAGCTAATGCAATTTGCGTACATAAACATGTTTGGATGTGTAAAGGTACTTTGCATACATAACATTTAGTTAGTATTAGGTATCTCTGGAGTTAAATGAGTGGGAATGGCGAATATAATTTGATATTGAAACACGTGGGCTATCGTCAACGAATATGCTTAAATTGTTCAAGATTTAGTGCAATTACGGAATCGCTACTAAAACTATTGACCATTTTTTTTAAGGTAGGTACGGTATAAATACAGGGGTATTGAGATCATTTTAATCTTTGTGTATTGTATATTTTAACAAATTTAGTTTATAAGTTTCAGTGTAGTTCTTAGGCTTTCAGGGCCGGCGTATATCGATTCACTCTTTTCTTACGTAGACCTTTAAATTACGGCGGCCCCATTATCCGGTATTCGGCCGGATCCTAAAAAAAATACCAGATCCAAATCTGGTATCCGGCTCATCTCTATGTTTAGATTGTTGTCTGTAGCAAATGTACTTGTTTATAATACAAAAACATGAACAAGAATACTAAAAATTATTGTTTGCTCTTTAAAAAACCTTGTGGTGGAAAGGTATAAAAAGAAGTAAAATCCATTACCGGGTCATTCGTTCTGCGATTTTTTCATTTTTCGTGTATATTTTGACCATATCACGTAGAAATGTGTATGCGCCCACGAATACATACGGATATAGTATGTTTATTTTACATCAGGTCATTCGTTTCGGTAAATTTAGAGCAGAGAGCGTTCAAAATGTTATTGGGCTTCCTAGAAATAACATCGCGATTTTTAATTGCATCTGAACCATGTTAGTACCTATTGTTTAACTTTTTCCAATTGCAGAAAGCAAATGCATTAGCAACAAAATCATTTAAACTCAATCTTCATGTTGCACTTTATATGAAAGTTGCAATCTATCGTTGAAACGCAAGTTTTGAGAGTTTCTTAATTATCCAACTAATGGGAATTTTCTTTTTCAGAATGTCGGTGACCCGTTCAACGAGGCCAGCCTTGCGCTGGCTGTGGCATACAGCGGGGTGAATGAACATTAGACCCTCGAAGTAGAAGGGTGAGTAAACGTAGCCGTTAGCTTTTGTCGATGTCTTCGTCGATTAAATTTATTACACGGACATGTACGTCACTCTATATATATATATATATATATATCTACATATGTATTATTATGTATACTTACTTGTATGGCGGGGTTGATGGCCCACACACCCTATTTCGTTTTGAGGTATATCTATGACCAACCTCGTTCCTGGCTTTTCGTCCAATTTATTGTTTGTTACCGTACACTGCGATATGATACGATAATTCTCTCCTCTAAACCTCCGGAGGCAAACTAATCATTTAACAATGACAAGATAAAAGGAAGTAACTGTAAGAGAATGTTGCGAAACGAACCATCTTAAAGCGTTGTTCACGATCAATGAGAATTTTTTGAATTCAGTTTTTATATACAAGTAAATAATAATAGGAAATTTAGCGACAATTCGCACATTTAAAATGAAATATCAATCAAAAAGTGCTCCTAAAATGTCTTTTTGTCCTGTTAAAGCATAAACTTGTTTGGCCTAGTTCAAAGTGATCTGTCCTAGTCCAATTTTTGTTATCCTAGTGCAAACTGATTTGTCCTAGTCTAATCTGGTTTGACTTAGTTGAAACTAAGCTTGTTCTAGCCAAACTGGTTTGTCCTAGACCAAACGGGTTTGTGACCGTCCATTTTATACTGCATGAACTTGTTTGACCTATTTCAAACTGACTTATCCTAGTACAAGCTAGTCTATCCTATTCCAAACTGATTTTTTAGTCAAAGTGGTTTGTCCTAATCCAAAGTGGTTTATCCTACTCCAAAGTGGTTTGTTCTAGTCTAAACTAGCTTGTCCCAGCCCATTTTACCATGAAATTTTAACCTATTCCAATACGAACTTGTGTCGTAGTTTATCCTGGTCGAAAATAATTTATCCTGGTTCAAAGTGGTTTGTCCTAGTTCAAACTGGATTGTCCTAATGCAAACTGGTTTATCATAGTCAAAACTAATTTGTCCTAGATTAATGTGGCTGGCGCTAGTCCAAACTGGCTTGTGCTAGTCCTAACGGGTTTGTCCCAATCCATTTTACCCTGCTTCTTTTCAAATAAATTTAATTTGATCTAGGCAAAACTAGTCCTAAAGTTTCGTTTGACCGATTACAAATATTCCTTTATTCTGATTACTAGGGTGATTACTAAGTGATGTTAATAATTAATTCCGCTGTGCTTATACATATAAAATAAACTATTTGTTCACTTTTGTTTAAGTGTCGGTATGTTTAGGAAAAGTGTGTATGCATTCGGATTGGCCTTAAGGTCCTGGAGAGCAATGGCAAGATAAAGGGAAGTAATTGTTGTTAATAATCGTACTTATATCAATCAAAAGGTGCATTTGAAATATCTTTTTTATTTCTGATTATACGAAAACATTTTCTAATTCATCGTCCTTTCTTTTGTAATACAGATAGGTAACAAGCGAAATTGATTTAAAACAGATTCGGTACGTGCTTTTGAAGCGTTTAAAGCAACTTTCTTTGTGAGTCACCCTGCGCTCCTGTTAGAATATCAACTTCGTAAGGGTGGCTGACTCTCCCTTTCTTTTCGTTAGTCGTCAGGGAAATATATAAAGGGTGTTACGGTAAATGAAATAAATTAAGGTTGTTCTAATAGGGTCCGTCATCGGTAATCTAAACTTAAAGCAAAAAATAAATCTACAATTGCAAGAGGCGGTGAAGTACCCCTTTAGAAATCTTCAGTTGTTAAGGGTGTATGTTCAAATATGGGCTTACATTCGTTATTTTTTGTTTTATTTATATTAAATTCTAATCTCTGATGTTCTGATGCTGAAAAGGTTTCGGTTGAATTTTGTTGTATTCTTGACGGATCATGTCTTCGACTACATTCTTTAGGTATGATTTGGGCCAGCCGAAATGAATGTGCGTTAAAAATAGTGAAAGTTACCGTTAGGTATTTCTACACAGGCAACAGAAAAACGAGGTCCGACAAGCGGTCAAAAGGTGCCCCACTTGACAGTGAGCACAGCCAGTACGGCGTAATAATAATAGACTTTAAATGATTCGGAGCTTTTATAAATTCGACCGCCAATGCTTTAGCTATTCGGTACAGAAGCACATGAACGACGAAGGCGTCGTAGCGGCAGCAGGCGAAGAACTATTTATAGTCGGAGAGACTAGGACATAAAGATCAAGTTCGAGCAAAATCTGGGTCATGAGATTGTTGCGTTTTAAGCTGCATATAAAGTACGGAAAATTGCCACCGTCATTTAGACACGACGTCTTTGCATGACCACAAAAATAATTCGATGATTTTGTAATTATCGTTGTATTCCTGAAATCCGCGTGGTCCATTAGCTCCAGCCAGTGCAATTGCACGGGAAATATTGTAACTACATTAACGTCAATTGAAGTAACTCTGGTATTGCGTAGAGTTGCAATTTAGTGGTCCAGGTTTGACACTGATCGTGAAATTAACACAAGATTTGGTGTTAAAACTACAAATTTGTTTCACTTTAAATAAAACAGTTTTTAGAATGATAAATTGGAAAAGTCGGGAAAGAAGTTGTTGTGCTTTTATTATTGCCCTCAGGGAAGTAAAAGAAAATAATTTTTCTCGTATTATGACTGCAGTTTGGGAAAGAGGGTTTTCTACCTTACGTTTCTTCCGACAGCTTTCCATTAATATTTATGTTTTCAGAGAAAATTCGTTGTTACCTTATCATAACTAATCTTTTAGCAAATTAAGTATTGAAATTTTGTAATGTTTCCATGGGTTTGTTTTAAAGTAAACTTACAATAAGTGAACATGGTTGATAAAAGCCAAAAAGTTTGTTAATATAAACAATAAAAGTACAGGTTTTATAAATTTGTTTTTGTTTATATGCAAAGTTTTCTTGGTAAACTTTTGTTTAATTATACTTATTGTTAGCAAATAAAAGTCTTGAGTTTTAACTTTTTTTGAATATTTTTTCAAGATATGAAACCGTTTGTGCTCGAACGAGGTGTTTCCTTTGATTATCTATTAGAATAATAATTATTTATTTAATAATAATGTACGATAAATTTCAATTATGTCGATTTTTGAAGAAGTGGGACATCAAATGCGCCTGTTAAACAAGAAACAATAATTGGGACGCGGGTTCAGCTCGCTCTTGATTGCCTTTTTTTTTATTCTTAGATAATATCAACAAGAGTCTAGTCCGAAGGACATGGACGTGACGTTTACCAACGTCTTGGAGGGTGCACGACAGTATTTTCAGGGGTTGCCCGCGACGACTGGAGGTTCAGTATTTTCATCGAACAACGAAAACAACTTGAACAGAAACAATGTATCCGAACAACAGATCCAAGATCGATCGGACAATAACGTATCATACTGGCCTCAACAACAGCATCAACATCTTCACCAACAGCAACAACAACAACCACAGCAACAGCATCAACAACAACCGCAACAAGATCGATCTCAGGTAGATGTGATGCACAGGGCGCCTTCCACTCATTCCGAACCTACCCGCCCGCCCTCGCAACAACAAGACTCAAGGAACTGCTCCTCGATCTACAATCTACAACAACAATCCCAACCGGAACAATTAAACCCTCAAATAATCAATTACAATTATCCGCGACCTCATTCTCGCGAAGTTTCTTCTAACAGTAATGTCTCCCAACAACAACAGCACATGCAACAGCAGCAACATGTACAGCATCAACAACATTACCAACAACATCAACCTTACAGTCAACAACAACAAATGCATCAGCAGCAACAGCAGCAGCAGCTGCAACACCATCAGATGCAGAACCAACAACAAAAACAGCAGCAACAAGTACAAAATCCGTTGCAACAACAGCAACAAATGCATCAAAAACATATGCAACAACAACAACAGCAACAGCAGCAGCAAATGCATCAAAAGCAGCAGCAACAACAACAACAACATTATCAGCAGCAGCCCCAACAACACTTGCAGCAACCTCAACCTCCTCAGCAGCAACAGCAGCAGGTTCATCATCAGCAGTACCAGTCTCATATAATGCCTAACCCTGCTTATCATCCTTCGGTATCTCAACACCCTCGCACTCCTGCCAGACATCAGGAAAGAACGACGCCCTCGTCTACCAGTGGTAGTTCTTCCCAAACATATCATCAGCTACAGAACTCCACTAGTTCGCAGTCGGTCATGCAGCAATACAGTCATTACCAGCAGTCTTCCAGGCCCCAATGCCCTGTCCATTCTCAAAGTCAAGTACAAAATCATTCTAGTTCTTCAACTTCTTCGTACGCGTATCAAAGTCAAACGCCTTATTCTGCTCATGGCCAGTCGAACAGTACTGCCATGTACAATTCGAACGTACCAACTTCGCAAAGCAACACCACTGCAACAAATGGACAGATACAGAACTACTATTCCAACCAGAAGGCGGTCAATATTCAAAACTACGGAAGTAATAACGGTAGCGGCAATAGCGAAAATCATCATCCCGTTCAGTACTCGTCGCCTGCAGCAAGCCAAAGTGTGTCGTCTTCTCAGTCACATAAAACGACTCATAATCTTCCTCCTATCGCAGCTCTTTCGTCAACTCATTACCACACGGGTCGAACTGGCCGAGAAAATTTGAGGATACCAGCGAGCAGAAATCAGCAGCATCCAACCACTTCTTCTTACGCTCCAAATCAAGTCAACACTTCTTCAGCAGCAACAACTCACCATCAACAACAACAGAACGTTCCTAAGAATAACACTCATGATTCCACTAATATGCAGTATAACACCAGTCAATGTCAAAGTAACAGGGTCTCAAATCAAAACTACCACTATGTTACGACAATAGCTGGTCACTCCAACTATACAACGACCACTGCCACCAACAGTACGACTAATAATGTTTTCCATTATCAGTATTCCCGATCGAATTCCAATTTTCAATCTGCAACTCCTCAAACCGGTCACATGTACCCTTCCGCAAAGGTTACGACTCATGTTCAACCCTCAACGCCGCAACTGACCAATCTGAACCACGCAACTAACCCCACGTCTGTCATTAAACAGAAGCGAGAATCGCCTCTCGATCTTTCGGTTAAGACTGTTAAAACCTCGGCGGATTCTACCTTGGACGATGTCGTCGAGAACAGTGGTGGCTCCGAAGTTCAAAGGATATCAAAATACAATCACAATGGACGAAATGCGATGTATCCCCTCGTGCAGCCAACGTACGGAAGTTATCCGTCAAGCGAGGTCAACCAAAGCACGGTCCATATCAATGCAATGTCTAAAGCGCAACCGAGCAACATGGGAGCGCCAAAGGTAGAGTTTCTTCCAAATTTTAATATGAGAGGGTTGAACCAACCGTACAATAATAGTGCTAACAATAAATTTGATACTCACAAGGGAGCGGTACCTCCTCAAACGCCACTCTACACTAATACCTCGCCACAAAAGTCAGCGTATGAAAGAAGCAAACCCTTTGTTCCCAACAGCGCCAATCGGGAGGTACATAAAAATTATGCTGCTGGTGCGTCAGCGCCGGTACCTGTAAATTCTTATCCAGTACAAAAAGTGTCGAAAAAGACTTCGCAATCTCTTCCAAGGGTTGATTTTCCGCCAGTGAATCATAAACTCGAAATGACCCCGCCTTATGTGTCTAAAAGACGATTCGAAATGCCGACGGTGGTGCCAAGCAAAATGGCAAAAGTTGATTCCTGGAAACAAGCCATCGACCAACAAATCGAGCAAAGGTTCTCGTCTTATACGAAGTTAAAAGAACAGGAACGACAAGAAACTCATATAACGAAAATGGATCAGTTAAACAGCAAAAACAGTTATCCGACTGCTGGACAACAAGAACGTTCTAAAGAACTGTACGGTTACAATTACAGATCGACGTATGATGCAGCCGAAAACCAAGTTTATTCTGGTGGTAGGCAGACTCAAGTAAATCATAATCAAACTTATGTTCCTAGTGCCTCCGCGCACCATTATCCAGGTTATAATAATATAAGGCCTCAGAGCAAGATCCAGGATCTCCCCCACAACGTGAATCCGCTGACGAGAACGGGTTCGAGTACCTCTTTGCATCACGGCCTCAGCCCTAATAAGAACACAGGAGGCGCAGACAAACGGGTAATAAGCTTGCTGAGAAATAGTCTTGAGAGTAAAGGTGCCAAAGAGGCTCAAAAGAAACTGGAACAGGAACAGCAGAAGTCGATGGAGAATCTTGTAAATCATCGACCTAAAACGGATATTCAACAACCCTCGACGGACGTTACAGCCCCTCTACAACCTAAACTAGGTCTGGGAGGAAGACAGAACGTCTCTCCATTCGCTGCCACAAGTTTACACGAGAGAAACACCAACACGCCCACGGCTTACAAATTTCATCTTCCAAAAGCAATCGACTCTGTGAAGTTCGAATCTGACATAACTAAAGAGGGAGATAGTTCGTCGGGTAGGGTGAACAGTATTAGTGAGGAAATACAACCGTCTATAAACAGTAACAGTAACTCGAATTCCGATTACGACGGTCTTGCTGCTTTCTTAGCAGCCAGAATTCGGACCAAGGCTGAACTTAAGCAAGTTAGCACATCTCAGTATTCGTTTAATGCTAATTCTACACAGCCGATCTTGCCAGGTGCCCCTGAAATGCAAGAATCCTTAAAACAAAACGCTGACTCGCAAAATACGATGTGCAACGGTACTAGCAACTTACAAAAATATTCATTGGACCCTAGCCAGTACCAACCTAGAAAAAGGCTCTTTAGTCGAAGTGAAGATGAAGCCAATAGTAAGACATTTACTAGTAACGTTCCTCATAGAGATAAATCAGGTCTGCGAAGCTCTTCGGAGACTTCGGTCTTTGATTTTCCCGATAGCGATTCCGAAGGTGAAATGCCAGTTTTAGAGAGGCAATCACTAAATGAAATGAGAAGGGAAAGGAGGAACTCTCTCAAGGATAGGATTGAGGAGGGAGTGAAATTCGAACAGAGTTCCGAGCCACCGAGGTCAAATAGCCCTTTCGATTTAATGTTTGACGAAGCCTGTGATAAATTTTTGGAGGAATTGAAGTCTGGTACTGGGAAGAAACGAGGAAGAAGGAAAAAGGTCGTCGAACCCGAAGTTATAGCGAAACTGGAAGAAACCGTCATCAAAGAAACGATCGCCGAAGTGAAATTAGAAACTGACGAAACGGAAGAAAATAAATCTAAAACTTTCCAAGATGTAGTGGTAGTAAAACAAGAACCAAATACGTATGTAGAAATTAAAGTAGAAACCGAAGCTGGCGAAGAAGTTAAACCTGAAATAAAAACGAAAGAAACTGAAATTTGTATAATAAATCCAACGATTAATTGTATTAAAGTTGAATCTGATTCCGATTCTGACGTTCCCTTGATAGATTGCAAAAATAAAGTAAAATGCTCGAGCCCTACAATAAAAAGTGAAGTTAAAGTTACCGTTGTTAAAAGTAAAGAATGTACGACGGAAACCAATGGCGCTAAAAAGCCAATATGTGATAGTAGTGATAGCGAACCTGAACCACGACCGGTTAAACATTCGCCCAAGAAAGGGAGAACGCCTAAGGGAAGTCCCACGAAGCAAAAGAATGCGGAAAAAGAATCAGAATTAAAAGGTAAAACTGTCAAAAAAATTGCCAGACATACCAAAAAGCCCGTATTCGGTGATGGCACCGAATTTCGTCCTGGATGGGAAGAAGAAGTTTTCAAATATAAAAAATCTTTGCGTATGCCGTCAGGTTTAATTCACGTGACGCGGCCTCCTGCGTGGCATAGATTATCAACGTCTTTACCCGATTTAGATCCCTACCCCAATTCACCGTCCGCTTCAATTTCCACAGAAAATGCCGATATGAAGAAAGTGAAAACGGAAATTGTCGACAGTGATATTGATTCCAATTCCAGTTTCAATTTCTCGTTCAGCAAAAATAACAACTACGACTCTGAAGGAAGTTCTTCCATTAAAAGTATGCCAACACCAAAATCCAACAGTTCCATTTTAGATAAACTTATACAAAAGTATGGCACAAGGAAACGAAAGCGTCCCAAGAAAAAGGAAGAGGATTCAGGACCAAAGATCATACCAAAGCCCGAAGATCCTTTGGAACTATTACCGACTCCTGGCTTAGAAATCACTCCTACCCGCGAGTCCAAAAAGAAAGAACAAGTCATTAAATCGGATTCAGTGTTTTTGGGCTTCCGTAAGAAAACCGTGGATAACTTTAAGAACACTTTCATTAAAAGTTCGAACTGCTTGGTAGGAATAAATGAACAGTTCAAAACGGTGGTTCTGAAATCGCGAACGCGAAAGCAAACAAGGGTATTGAAACAGAAGGCTACGATAAGGGAAGTTTTCGGCGAAGAACGACCCGCTTCTGCACCACCTGTTACCTGCATTGACAATACCGATGATCAGGAAGATAAATCAAAACCAACGATCAAAATAGAAAAAGACAGTCAAACTCGCAGTTCAAGTAGATGTAGTTCAAAGAGCGCGACTCCTTTGGAGAATTCAAAAGAAGTTCTGAAAGGTAAACTTCTTAAAAACAAAATTAAATTGACTGAGACATTAGATTTATTAGAACACTCCAATATCAAAAAGGAAATGGATAGTAAATCGGAAACGTTATCAATCGACGACGATAGTGTCAGCGTTAAATCAAACGACACAACAAGTACAACCCATTCGAAGAGACGTATCAAAAGTATTCGACGGAAATTTAGTTCTGGATTCGATTATATACGTAAGAAGAAGAAACAAACGAAAAAGGAGACACAAGAGGGCGAAACAGGGACTCCAAAACTCAAGAAGAAGGGCATTTTGACCAAGGCCTCTCCCGAATCCATTCAAGACATTCAAAAGGAGATTAAGACATGGGTTATGAACAAGGGCATCGGAGAAACCCATTTACATCGTGCTGCCAGGCTTGGATATACCGTAAGTAAATTTGTAATACTATAGGGTTGTTCGGAAAGTCATTTCGTTTTTTTTTTTTGTGGAAATGAAAGACAGTTTTCGTATAATAAACAAATACTTTATTAAATTATATATTGACCGTTCTGGTCCAACACCTTTTGCCATCTTTCTGGTAGTAGCATAATTCCACGCTCATAAAATTTTTGGTCTTTGCTGGCAAAAAACTGATCGAGGAGGTTTTTGACCTCCTCATTTGAGGTGAAGGTTTTACCGTCTAAAAAATTTTGGAGTGACCGGAACAAATAATAATCCGATGGTGCCAGGTCTGGAGAATATGGTGGGTGTAGCATTGTATCCCATTCAAGCTGTAAAAGCTTTTGGCGAGTGACCAAACTTGTGTGAGGTCTCGCGTTGTCTTGGTGAAACACTACACCTTTCCTGTTGATTAGTTCTGACCTTTTCTGTTGAAGTGCATCATTCAGTTTGTCCAGCTGATGACAGTAGACTTCCGAATTAATCGTTGTGTTATCCGGTAAAAGCTCAAAAAAAACGATTCCTTTAAAATCCCACCAAACAGACAGCATCACCTTTTTTTGGTGAATATCGGCTTTGGAAATGGTTTGAGCCGGTTCATCTTTTTTGCTCCATGACCTCTTGCGTTTGACGTTGTTGTATACAACCCATTTTTCGTCCCCAGTGATGATGCGCTTCAAAAACGGATCATTTTCGTGACGTTTGAGAAGCGAATCGCAGACGTCAATGCGGCGACACAGATTTCTCTCTGTGAGAACATGGGGAACCCATACATCGAGCTTCGAGGATAATCCCAGGCCTTTCAAGTGGTCATAAACTGTTGAATTTGATAAATTTAACCTCAATCCGATCTCACGTGTTGTTATTCGCCGGTTCACATCAACTAATGCCTTTATCGCGTCTTTATCAGCTTCAACCGGCCTTCCCGAACGTGGTGCATCTTCGACATCAAAATTGCCGGATCGAAATTTAGCGAACCAGTTCTGGCACTGGCGTACTGTCAACACACCTTCTCCATACACATCAGTCAATTTCTTTCTGGCTTGAACAGCATTTTTACCCTTTCTGTAGTAAAGTAAGATATGTCGAAAATGCTGCTTATCGCTCTCCATATTTAAAAGGGCACCAACCAAAAACTACTGCGTAGAATTAATTGGAATTTTTCACACACAAGCCTTGCCATATTATGAGCTCTCAAAGCATATAAAAATTATACGGCTTAAATGTGAAGTTGGGTGCAAATGAATAGAATTAAATCCTCTGTCGGGAAAAAACGAAATGACTTTCCGAACAACCCGATATTTATTTTTCCTTGGTCAGACATAGAAATATTTAAAAGTTTGTAATCTTTATTATACATATGTATTTCCATGGGTATTTTTACTTAGGATATAACTGCGTATTGTTTGGAGAAGATGGATAGCATGCCATCTCCGAAGGATAATGCAGGTTATACTCCTCTCCATGAAGCTTGCGCCCGGGGTCACCTTGGCATTGCCAGACTTTTGTTGATGTATGGAGCTAATGTTAGTGAATCAGCACAGGGTGGAATAAGGTAATCGATTAACGACTGGCTTCTAATGTTTTAATAAAAATACGTTCATTAATAGGCCCTTGCATGAAGCTACGGAAAACGGCTTCGTAGAAATAGTGAGACTTCTTTTGTCCTACGGTGCTGATCCAGTTTTAGCGACATACTCAGGTCTCACACCACTCTCGCTTACAAGTGACGAGACGACAATGTTCGTCTTACAGAATCACATAGCGGACATTCGTGGGGACCCGGCACCGCCTTGGACATTTTTCGGTCCAGCTTCTTGTTTTGGTAAGAAAATAATATTCGTAGTTAATAATGTTTCGTTGTCTAATCACGTCTGACGATCTCTCATTATATTATGTGACACCCACTTGTCGTCGTTCGATATAAAATTTACATACAAAACGTTTCCTCTGTTTGAATTGTAAAATAGCCGATGCTAATCTTTCCTTTCAGACTTGGAGTCGTTCTTAACTGATAATAGATTTTTCAGATCCGGTCCCTGAAGAGTCGGGTTTTAACCCGCTGGACGACGTTCCCGACCCTGATCCTCCACCTGACCAAGACGACGATGACGATAGCGTTATGGAATTCGAAGTGAGCGATTTTCCACTTCCCAATTTGTACACGCTGACCAACGAATCATCTACCGATCAGTGGATTCTTCTTCAAGACCTGTCGAACATCTTGAAGATTAAGTCGAGAGACGCTCTCCTAAAACAGATCACCGGTTGTGCGACAACAACGGCGTCGTCTCATAAGAACGTCATCAAGGAGCTGAAGACTCAGGATTTCCTCGATCAAGCGCAATGCTCGCAGTATTTGTGCGCCGGCGAGAAGATAAATGTGCGAGCTTCAAAGATTGCTCTAGTGAAATTTACGGATAAAGTGAAGAAACTGTTGAACATCGAAAAGGTGGTCGTCCCCGAAAGGTGACAAACGGTCGACACGTAGAATTCCCTGCCGTTGAATTAATTAAATGTACCAAGTGATATTATTATGTTTCATGTGATCATGACTTGTTGTTATAAATTTATTTTTTATCCACGGTGCTTATTTGGTTAAATTTTGATATTTTTATATTATTAATTGATTAATTAATTAATTATCGATTCGTTTAATTATCTACACGTACGTAATAACTATACATATTTTTGTTTCCAGCGATGAAAGTGCGTTTGGTATCGGACTAATAACACGCGATTTTTTTTTTACTTCTGCTGAACATACAGAACCGTAACAAGAACAGATCTTTTTTTTATTGTAAGTGTACAGGGTGAACTTTATACTTTTTGAGGAGACTGCCAGGAGAATCACGAAACAGGTACATAAAATTTTCATTACATATCATTTTTTTAATACATTTTTCAACTGATGTTTAGGTGCTGCACGGGTGGAAATTGTATTTTTTTGGTACCTAATTATTAAAATTTATCAAAATCGCCTTTTGCCGGATTTCCTGTACGGAAAAGCACATAAAAAAAATAGTTTTATTAGTATTATTTACATAACTGAACTGGGCCGCACAAGGCAGTTCTGCAGGCTGCTTCAAAAATTCGCGCCCTCTGCACACATTTGTTAGGATAAAGCCGCGAATTTAGACGAATTAGGAGCTGCACACAACGCAGCTCATCTTTGTATTTTTATTTCTCTTTTAGATCGAGTTTTTTTAAACGAGTGTTTTGTTTTTGGTAACTTGCTGCTTCGAAAATTCGTACTCTGTACTAATTTGTTATGATAAAGCCGCAAATTTAGACGAATCAGGAGCTGCATACAACGCAGCTCATTAGTGTACTATTATTTCTCGTAAACGTCGACAAGCGGAAATCGTGTTAATTTGCAACATTTGTTAGGATAAAGCCAGAAATTTAGACGAATCAGGAGCTGCATACAACGCAGCTCATTAGTGTACTATTATTTCTCGTAAACGTCGACAAGCGTAAATCGTGTTAATTTGCAACATTTGTTACGATAAAGCCACAAATTTAAACGAATCAAGAGCTGCATAAAACGCAGCTCATTGGTATGCTTTTTTTTCACTTATAGACGTTGACGAGTTTAACGAAATTTTTTTATTTTGTTATCTAAACTGCGCGCTGCTTCGAAAATTTGTACTCTGCACACATTTGTTACGATAAAGCCACAAATTTACACGAATCAAGAGCTGCATACAACGCAGCTCATTGATGTGCTTTTATTTCCCTTCTAGACGTTGACAACCGTAGGTCGTGTTAATTTGAAAGCAATACTGTTTTGTTTTGTTACATAATTTACCCCACACTCGAAGATACATTATCGTTTTTTATAAAATAAATATTTAATAACATGTAAACAGCTTTGGGGTACACGCTGTATACATGTTTTGTTGTTTTTAAAATGCAATATTTTTATCGTTTTTTTTTTTCTGGATCACCCTGTACATTTATTTTCGAAATCATTCTCCAACAGGAACTTTGCAGACGCACATTCCTTCAAAGACTGTTTGTTAGTAATTAAAGTTGTGTACGTAACATTCTACGTAATTATTATTATTTATTTCTACTAGTATTAATTGAACAATAAATAACTATTGTGTGGTTTTGTGCGTCTGCGGTTTCTGTAGAGGAAAAAGGTACGTTATCAGCGGATTATTTTATTTTTTTTTCGAGTTTTGTTACCAGTGTGATCATATTTTTTAATTTCATTTTTTAATAACTAATTAATTAATAGTAGTTGACGTTCGTGGACTTGTGCAATGTAAATTGTTTTAATGAAGCTTTGTACGTGTTTTTCTCGCCGATTTGTAGTTGTTAAGAGCTGTAAGTCGATAAGGACCGCACGTCGTTTTTCTGAGGCCCGTACTTAGGCCGACGATCTAATAACGACGTACCGTCCTTGATTTTATTACTAAGTAATTCATTTGTTTTATTGATAGGCGTAAACAAAAAGTGGTACTGGGTGTTTAAGAATCAATTTTATTAATTACGATTATTAATTACCCGAAAGGTAAAATTTCGCACGGAAAGAATTTCGTTAATTCTCAGGGATCTGTACTTTTCAAGTCGTCGAATAATAATAATAATAATAATAACGATAGTAATAAATGAATGAATAAATAAATAAATAATAATAATTATTATAACGCTATTTATGTTATTTGTTCGTTGTCGGGACGACACAAAATTGTACAGGTTTTTGTACAGCATCGATGGACCCCTCTCTTTACCCCTTGACCACTTCCCGTCCTAAATTCTCCCCTTTACGTAGTTGTAAGTGTGTACATTAATGTTTTTAACTTTTTTTATCGTTGTCATCTACGTCTTATAAAAATAGAATCATCGTGAATAAATAGCTTGAAATTTTTCTTCTGCTCCTCGAACTTTTTTCTCTTTGTATTTCTGTTTTCTCGATTTTTACAATGTGATGTTCCATAATAAATAAATAATTTAAAAGATACAGTGAAAAACACACGTCGTTCATTATAGGGTCCATATCTAGGCTTTTTTTTTATTGAAAAAAGAATTTAATTGGGAACAAAATATTTCCTAAGTACGCCCCTGATAATGACGTCACTTGCAAACGTCGTACGGTCCTTAGAAATCAGTAAAATAAAGTAATTCCTGTAATTTTTGTTTTAAGTTATCATAAAGGGGCACCTACGTTGGTCCACCCTATATATCTTTTTCATTTGAGTAAATATGAAATTTATTTTTGTTTTTAATTACTGCCCTATTTTTTTAGACCAATTTAGGCTTCATAAATATTTATGCGGGCTATTTGACAACAAATAAATTAAAAAAGTTTACCCAAAATACTTTTACAGTAATTATTTGTTATGGAACGATGACCTTATTAATTGTAATGGATCATAATTAGTTTTGTTAGTGTTGTTTGGTGGATGTGTTGCGATTGGATGGTAAAAAAATTAGCTGAGATGCGATTAATTTAAAAAAAGAATAAAAAAGGAAAAGAAACAAATATTGTTGATCTGTGATTTGCATTGATGGAAGTGCAATGCTTTCTTCTGCATCCTACCACTACTACTATGTACTATTATTATTAATTATTAATTACTACTTTTAATAGTGGGTAGGCAAGAAGTAATAACTATATTGTGATTACGTCTATTTTTCCTATCGTCTTAAGTAACAGAGCTTCTTTAATTTATGATATAAATACATGTTTATTATTACGATTATTATAATTACTATTATTATAGTTACATTACTACTATTACTGTATAACAACGTCAGCGATTTTCTTTACGTTTCTCTTTCAAATCTTTTCAATTATTAATATATAAGAGAAGTATTGATTATAAATATTAAATACTATCTTGTGAAGTTTTTTTAAACCTATTGTAACACCGAACAGCGCAGTAGTGTAAATACTGATTTATTATATTTTTTCAATTAATTAATTAAACTTTAAACCTTCTATTCCTCCTCTAGGGGGTTTAAATTTGTAAAAATCACTTCAGACATCACCTAATATTGTATGTGTATAAAAATTATTTTCTTTCAAGTCCATATTGCTAGAACTAGATTGTCAATTGGTTAGTTTTTCATTTAAAACTCATATAGTACACGTATATATTTATTAGTGTATTTTGAAAAGATATTTTAAACTAAAAAAGTTTTCGTATAGCTAGGGGAACACCCAGTACTTCATTTTTGTTTACTTCATACAGCCAGAGACATCTTACAGTGAGTTGCCAAAAGATGTGTGTTGTTTAACTATTGCATTTTGATTTATACATTGAAAACTTGATTAGTTTCTCATCAGATGTATATTTATAAACGTTTTGATTTCTTTTCGGTTAATTTTGAGTTAAGTTAAGTATTATATTTTTATTTTGAGTATGTTACATTTGCGTATACTGTGGCTTCCAGTCGATAGAGGGAGCTTAATGTCTGAATTGAAAGGTAATGTCAAAAGTCAAAACGTTGCTGTGCAGTAGTAATGGTGGTTAATACTTTGTGTGGTTTATAAAGATACATTTTGTTTTTAAAGAATTACATTAAGACTGAAGATATTCGTATTATATTACTGAAAGTTTCGCTTTCGGTTGTTGCCTTTATTTGCATTTTAGATGTGTTAATTAGCTTGATATATATTTACGTCAAAACAAACGTGCTTGACAAGTATAATTTCAAATTATTCGGCATTTTTTTGAGACATTGGGTAGTAGTGGGAGAAAATAGTTATTTGCCAATGTAATGTAATAAAGAAACGACAAGAGCTGTTATAATACGTCCATGTCGCTTGTTTGTAACGTGGTTGTATACGATTTCCAGTTAAAATGGCTGCGTGATTGTCAGTAGAAGTGTAATGTAGTAAAAGTCTGTAAATACACATTCTACTTCGTAAATTGTGTTCAGGTTCATTCCTAATTCGTGTAGACAACGATAATAAACAATTTTCGGGTACAATTAATTGTTTTCTGTGATTTGTGAGAACTTGTGGCGTTTTATACACTCAGACGTCTTGGAAATAGCAAGGCATTGTCAGCAGATACATAGTTTTAAGGTAAGAAAATTGTATTTGGGAAATTGTTAATTGAATATTGTTTAAGAATGGTAGTACGGTTGTCTTATTTATGATTCATGGAAATTACGATTGAGTAACTATAAATAGGTTAAGATGGACAACTTTCTCTTACAGGGTACATATGTTAAAAAGAAGCTTTTTATAATTTGCGAAGATATGATAATCATTCAATTGCAATATTAAACATTGTTAAAATAATATGGTGATTGCCTTTGTCGATGTTAAATTGATAATCAATTCTATATTTTACAAAGCTTTTGCGAAAGATTAGTAGTATTGCAGCATCTCAGGGTCACATTTATTTGCGTTTCTCCAGAATTGGTCTACTGATTTTTAATACAGAATATTGTAATTTGTATTTAAAGCCGTAAATATCTCTGTATTCAATAAAAAACAAGCATTTTGCAGGCAGTAAAATTAACAAATTGCAGAAGCCTTTGACTTAATCTGTTATCGTAATTTGATTTGTTTTCCAAATGATAACGGTTCTACTCCTTGTTATATTAGTCGAGGATATAATAAATATATTTAATAACAAATAATAACTGCAGATTATAACTATAGAAAAGATGACAAAAGTGATTGTCACTACAAGCAATTAAATCTGGCCTCAAACTCAGAAAACTTTATCTTGAGTGGTTCATTACGTTTCAACATCGACTAATTACCTATTGTATAATTAATAATTCGTACAAAATTAATTGGTTGTTGGTTTGCACTTAAAGGTGCTCACGTAGAATTAATTACTCAGGATAATTTTTAAAGACATCTTGTGAAATTTGATTGAAAATGTACAATCTCCATTTAATAATTAGGAGTATTTATTTAATTTTGTTTATGCACTATCGTTTTATTAGCAAAAATAATATATTCATGAAGGTACATGGAAATTATCAGCTATTATTAAAAAATTTTATTGAAATTTTGGCGAAGGCACCGGGACAATTTAAAGTGATGATTATAATTTAGTTACAATTCCGCTTTCATTGAAGTTAATTAATAAATTTTCATATTATATTATGTTTTCTTTTTATCGTAGGTAGGTGCAATTAGATACTTTATATGTTACTTTCTCAATAAATACGTAATTATAACGCAACGTTGAAGGTAGCCGTGTACACCCTTCGGAGCATCGAGGGTGACTAACTTAGGTGTGCTGGGTTTATTGTTATAAACCGGCTCGATGCATCTGATTGGCTATTACGTCGGCAGCCATTTTGCAGATCAGTTAAAACTAGGTCAATGTCATGCACCTATGCTAATTGGGAATCTCCTTCAGGAATACGGTGTTAAACAATGTTAGGGGTCGTGTATCAGTGTGAAAACTCTTCGATTAGATTAAATCTTAATATTTTAAATTTGTTTAATTCGTAGCTGTGGTTCAATTAACTTTTACGTTATAAAGAAGAATAAAGGTAAAATTTTTAGTCATTTGATATCGTTCTGTTTATCTCACCGTTAAAACTTTACAAAGATGGATAGGATGATCGCATTAGTATACACGTGTGTTAGTTTCTAGATAATACCAACAGTAAGTAGTATTAAATTGTCGCCAAATTAAAGGTCACGAACAATGTAAAGTGTACAAATAGCGCCGAATTTAATGGGCTGATAAAATATAAGGAAAAGGAAGAGCATTTCTAAATTGAATGAATATGTAAATATATGTTACAAGGATATTTTTAATGGCCATGCCCCGTAAGAAATTTAAATAAATTCGTGTAGAAATGTCCAATGAAATTAACTATTTAATTACCCTAAATACAAAACACTAATACGAGAACGATTATTTAATTAACAATTACATGAATNAGCTCATTAGTGTACTATTATTTCTCGTAAACGTCGACAAGCGGAAATCGTGTTAATTTGCAACATTTGTTAGGATAAAGCCAGAAATTTAGACGAATCAGGAGCTGCATACAACGCAGCTCATTAGTGTACTATTATTTCTCGTAAACGTCGACAAGCGTAAATCGTGTTAATTTGCAACATTTGTTACGATAAAGCCACAAATTTAAACGAATCAAGAGCTGCATAAAACGCAGCTCATTGGTATGCTTTTTTTTCACTTATAGACGTTGACGAGTTTAACGAAATTTTTTTATTTTGTTATCTAAACTGCGCGCTGCTTCGAAAATTTGTACTCTGCACACATTTGTTACGATAAAGCCACAAATTTACACGAATCAAGAGCTGCATACAACGCAGCTCATTGATGTGCTTTTATTTCCCTTCTAGACGTTGACAACCGTAGGTCGTGTTAATTTGAAAGCAATACTGTTTTGTTTTGTTACATAATTTACCCCACACTCGAAGATACATTATCGTTTTTTATAAAATAAATATTTAATAACATGTAAACAGCTTTGGGGTACACGCTGTATACATGTTTTGTTGTTTTTAAAATGCAATATTTTTATCGTTTTTTTTTTTCTGGATCACCCTGTACATTTATTTTCGAAATCATTCTCCAACAGGAACTTTGCAGACGCACATTCCTTCAAAGACTGTTTGTTAGTAATTAAAGTTGTGTACGTAACATTCTACGTAATTATTATTATTTATTTCTACTAGTATTAATTGAACAATAAATAACTATTGTGTGGTTTTGTGCGTCTGCGGTTTCTGTAGAGGAAAAAGGTACGTTATCAGCGGATTATTTTATTTTTTTTTCGAGTTTTGTTACCAGTGTGATCATATTTTTTAATTTCATTTTTTAATAACTAATTAATTAATAGTAGTTGACGTTCGTGGACTTGTGCAATGTAAATTGTTTTAATGAAGCTTTGTACGTGTTTTTCTCGCCGATTTGTAGTTGTTAAGAGCTGTAAGTCGATAAGGACCGCACGTCGTTTTTCTGAGGCCCGTACTTAGGCCGACGATCTAATAACGACGTACCGTCCTTGATTTTATTACTAAGTAATTCATTTGTTTTATTGATAGGCGTAAACAAAAAGTGGTACTGGGTGTTTAAGAATCAATTTTATTAATTACGATTATTAATTACCCGAAAGGTAAAATTTCGCACGGAAAGAATTTCGTTAATTCTCAGGGATCTGTACTTTTCAAGTCGTCGAATAATAATAATAATAATAATAACGATAAATAATATCGATAAATCTACGAGTTCATCTTTTAAGATTGAATGTAGAACTAAATCCTGTTACGTGTGTGTAAGTGGTGAACAAGCCCTTTAAGCAAAAAAAACCAAGTTTTTATTCCACCACGTAACAAATATTATTGTAAAACTGAAGATCTTCGCCTAGAGACTTTAAATTTTGAATTTCTTTGACTAGTCTATTTAGTTTCCGGTAGAATTAATCAAGAAATGGTGAAGTGGGTATTTAGGGTTTTATGATGTATAAAATTCTTCAGAATTGGGATTGACCTACCTATAATGCATACTATATAAATGAAACAAAATATGCCACCCTAATATATACATAATTAAAAAAAAAGCTGTTTGGNGAAAAACACACGTCGTTCATTATAGGGTCCATATCTAGGCTTTTTTTTTATTGAAAAAAGAATTTAATTGGGAACAAAATATTTCCTAAGTACGCCCCTGATAATGACGTCACTTGCAAACGTCGTACGGTCCTTAGAAATCAGTAAAATAAAGTAATTCCTGTAATTTTTGTTTTAAGTTATCATAAAGGGGCACCTACGTTGGTCCACCCTATATATCTTTTTCATTTGAGTAAATATGAAATTTATTTTTGTTTTTAATTACTGCCCTATTTTTTTAGACCAATTTAGGCTTCATAAATATTTATGCGGGCTATTTGACAACAAATAAATTAAAAAAGTTTACCCAAAATACTTTTACAGTAATTATTTGTTATGGAACGATGACCTTATTAATTGTAATGGATCATAATTAGTTTTGTTAGTGTTGTTTGGTGGATGTGTTGCGATTGGATGGTAAAAAAATTAGCTGAGATGCGATTAATTTAAAAAAAGAATAAAAAAGGAAAAGAAACAAATATTGTTGATCTGTGATTTGCATTGATGGAAGTGCAATGCTTTCTTCTGCATCCTACCACTACTACTATGTACTATTATTATTAATTATTAATTACTACTTTTAATAGTGGGTAGGCAAGAAGTAATAACTATATTGTGATTACGTCTATTTTTCCTATCGTCTTAAGTAACAGAGCTTCTTTAATTTATGATATAAATACATGTTTATTATTACGATTATTATAATTACTATTATTATAGTTACATTACTACTATTACTGTATAACAACGTCAGCGATTTTCTTTACGTTTCTCTTTCAAATCTTTTCAATTATTAATATATAAGAGAAGTATTGATTATAAATATTAAATACTATCTTGTGAAGTTTTTTTAAACCTATTGTAACACCGAACAGCGCAGTAGTGTAAATACTGATTTATTATATTTTTTCAATTAATTAATTAAACTTTAAACCTTCTATTCCTCCTCTAGGGGGTTTAAATTTGTAAAAATCACTTCAGACATCACCTAATATTGTATGTGTATAAAAATTATTTTCTTTCAAGTCCATATTGCTAGAACTAGATTGTCAATTGGTTAGTTTTTCATTTAAAACTCATATAGTACACGTATATATTTATTAGTGTATTTTGAAAAGATATTTTAAACTAAAAAAGTTTTCGTATAGCTAGGGGAACACCCAGTACTTCATTTTTGTTTACTTCATACAGCCAGAGACATCTTACAGTGAGTTGCCAAAAGATGTGTGTTGTTTAACTATTGCATTTTGATTTATACATTGAAAACTTGATTAGTTTCTCATCAGATGTATATTTATAAACGTTTTGATTTCTTTTCGGTTAATTTTGAGTTAAGTTAAGTATTATATTTTTATTTTGAGTATGTTACATTTGCGTATACTGTGGCTTCCAGTCGATAGAGGGAGCTTAATGTCTGAATTGAAAGGTAATGTCAAAAGTCAAAACGTTGCTGTGCAGTAGTAATGGTGGTTAATACTTTGTGTGGTTTATAAAGATACATTTTGTTTTTAAAGAATTACATTAAGACTGAAGATATTCGTATTATATTACTGAAAGTTTCGCTTTCGGTTGTTGCCTTTATTTGCATTTTAGATGTGTTAATTAGCTTGATATATATTTACGTCAAAACAAACGTGCTTGACAAGTATAATTTCAAATTATTCGGCATTTTTTTGAGACATTGGGTAGTAGTGGGAGAAAATAGTTATTTGCCAATGTAATGTAATAAAGAAACGACAAGAGCTGTTATAATACGTCCATGTCGCTTGTTTGTAACGTGGTTGTATACGATTTCCAGTTAAAATGGCTGCGTGATTGTCAGTAGAAGTGTAATGTAGTAAAAGTCTGTAAATACACATTCTACTTCGTAAATTGTGTTCAGGTTCATTCCTAATTCGTGTAGACAACGATAATAAACAATTTTCGGGTACAATTAATTGTTTTCTGTGATTTGTGAGAACTTGTGGCGTTTTATACACTCAGACGTCTTGGAAATAGCAAGGCATTGTCAGCAGATACATAGTTTTAAGGTAAGAAAATTGTATTTGGGAAATTGTTAATTGAATATTGTTTAAGAATGGTAGTACGGTTGTCTTATTTATGATTCATGGAAATTACGATTGAGTAACTATAAATAGGTTAAGATGGACAACTTTCTCTTACAGGGTACATATGTTAAAAAGAAGCTTTTTATAATTTGCGAAGATATGATAATCATTCAATTGCAATATTAAACATTGTTAAAATAATATGGTGATTGCCTTTGTCGATGTTAAATTGATAATCAATTCTATATTTTACAAAGCTTTTGCGAAAGATTAGTAGTATTGCAGCATCTCAGGGTCACATTTATTTGCGTTTCTCCAGAATTGGTCTACTGATTTTTAATACAGAATATTGTAATTTGTATTTAAAGCCGTAAATATCTCTGTATTCAATAAAAAACAAGCATTTTGCAGGCAGTAAAATTAACAAATTGCAGAAGCCTTTGACTTAATCTGTTATCGTAATTTGATTTGTTTTCCAAATGATAACGGTTCTACTCCTTGTTATATTAGTCGAGGATATAATAAATATATTTAATAACAAATAATAACTGCAGATTATAACTATAGAAAAGATGACAAAAGTGATTGTCACTACAAGCAATTAAATCTGGCCTCAAACTCAGAAAACTTTATCTTGAGTGGTTCATTACGTTTCAACATCGACTAATTACCTATTGTATAATTAATAATTCGTACAAAATTAATTGGTTGTTGGTTTGCACTTAAAGGTGCTCACGTAGAATTAATTACTCAGGATAATTTTTAAAGACATCTTGTGAAATTTGATTGAAAATGTACAATCTCCATTTAATAATTAGGAGTATTTATTTAATTTTGTTTATGCACTATCGTTTTATTAGCAAAAATAATATATTCATGAAGGTACATGGAAATTATCAGCTATTATTAAAAAATTTTATTGAAATTTTGGCGAAGGCACCGGGACAATTTAAAGTGATGATTATAATTTAGTTACAATTCCGCTTTCATTGAAGTTAATTAATAAATTTTCATATTATATTATGTTTTCTTTTTATCGTAGGTAGGTGCAATTAGATACTTTATATGTTACTTTCTCAATAAATACGTAATTATAACGCAACGTTGAAGGTAGCCGTGTACACCCTTCGGAGCATCGAGGGTGACTAACTTAGGTGTGCTGGGTTTATTGTTATAAACCGGCTCGATGCATCTGATTGGCTATTACGTCGGCAGCCATTTTGCAGATCAGTTAAAACTAGGTCAATGTCATGCACCTATGCTAATTGGGAATCTCCTTCAGGAATACGGTGTTAAACAATGTTAGGGGTCGTGTATCAGTGTGAAAACTCTTCGATTAGATTAAATCTTAATATTTTAAATTTGTTTAATTCGTAGCTGTGGTTCAATTAACTTTTACGTTATAAAGAAGAATAAAGGTAAAATTTTTAGTCATTTGATATCGTTCTGTTTATCTCACCGTTAAAACTTTACAAAGATGGATAGGATGATCGCATTAGTATACACGTGTGTTAGTTTCTAGATAATACCAACAGTAAGTAGTATTAAATTGTCGCCAAATTAAAGGTCACGAACAATGTAAAGTGTACAAATAGCGCCGAATTTAATGGGCTGATAAAATATAAGGAAAAGGAAGAGCATTTCTAAATTGAATGAATATGTAAATATATGTTACAAGGATATTTTTAATGGCCATGCCCCGTAAGAAATTTAAATAAATTCGTGTAGAAATGTCCAATGAAATTAACTATTTAATTACCCTAAATACAAAACACTAATACGAGAACGATTATTTAATTAACAATTACATGAATGTACATATAAATTATCATTTATTTTTGAAGGTACATATCGGTAAGTAGGTAATTAAAAAAAGAAAACCAAGTACAATTTTATATTCTTTAGAAACATACGTTTAATATTGATGAAACCATTTTTATCAATTTTGTACAATAAAAGTTGTATTGTGAATATTTAACAATAAATAAGGCTATTAAAGAACACCCTTCAATAGAAAGTTGTCAATAATATGTTATTGTTAGAATACGTTATTATATAACATAACTGGAATGCTTTTTTGCGATAAAAGTAGGTATTCAAAATCATAACTGGCGATTCTATTGGAAAATTTAATTAATTAATTCAATTTAACCGTAAGTTGGCTACATATTAAGGACAGACTGCCTAATCCGTATTAGATTTCAATTGAAATTTTTTGGTCCACTGCACTGTATTACTTTAATGTGAACATTTGCCAATTTTAATTTGTAATTGATCCAATAAAATAATCAGCCTACGATTGGGTATGGCGAAATAATTATCTAACTGGTTCGGTTGAACAATTTATGTAATAATAAGTTTTTTGTCATTAAATAAGCTAATGACAGAGAATTTTAAATTGTCTCAGCCCAATTAAATAACGTAGAATGTTCTTTAAAAGGATCAAGCAAGAAAAATAATCCTTGTACAAACTAATTACCTATAGATAATCAGAATTTTATTACTTGTACTATGTTAAACGATTCATTTTAGGATGCCATTACAAAGACCTGGCATTGTTCAAATTGAACAAAGATCTATAATTAAATATCCTTGGGGTGGCAATTGAGCCTATGCATATCTATTAGGAATTTAACTTGAAATCGTGGTGGTGGTTCCTTATATTCATACCAATTAATTTTATATTTACCTGCTTTGCAAACATCAATTTCTAATTTTCTTGGTAGCAGAAATTGTCTGCGAAATCCTTCATAGAAACTGGGATATTTCGTTATGTAAAGCAATTACATCTTTTAAGAATGCAGTTTTGGTTATACAAAGGTTACATTTAACTGATGTTCCAACATTTATTGTTATTTCTATATGTAGATGTAACAAAATATCTTTCAGAATACGTAACAGGTCTTTATTTTTTATTTTTTTTGTATTTTACTAGTTTATTCTTACGTTCTACTTTCTTAACCATATAAAATGTTTAACAATAGACATTAATTTGAATTTTTTACGTACTTTATAGTATGATAATCTCCTTTTTATTGCATGATTCTGTTATTAATAATTGACAGTGCAGTTATCTACAGTAAAAACTACTGAGTCATTATTAGACATGCTATTTTTATCCCACAATGCTTTATCAATAGTAGATTATCAGAAGATATACGTGTGAATATAAATCAATGTAACGATTTTTAGTAACTCTTTTCAGAGGGGTATTTTTAACCCCATCTATATCATAATGGTCAATTTTATCGCAATTACTTTATTATTTATTACAACTGCAACAGTGTTGTTGCTCAATTTTTGTTTTTTTGAGAATTATTTTCAAAAACCATCAGGAACGTAAGAACTGTTTCTCGCGTCCTAAATACGATCACATAAATGTAATTTTTCTATCCCTGGGGAACTGTTTTTTTTCTGGATAAAAGGTACCCTATGTCCTTGTCGATACCCCTAACAATAAATGAAACAGTTATGATTAAGTACTTAAAAGTTACAATTATTATAAATATATCTTTGGGTCATCAAAATTTGCTTGATCTCGGCCTTGTCCTATTATATTTATTACTGGTAGTTTTATATTTTGTTTATTTTTAAAAAAAGTTCTTTTTTATACATTTCGCAAATAATCTTATCCATAAAAACTAGGTCATAACGAAGGTAGTAGTTGTTAAAATGGTGCGAATTTTAAATTTTCTTTCAATTTAACCATCAATATTAGTATAATTTTTATCTGTTGTGTTACAATATGTCTACGCGTTTTATTATTCGTATCAGTTGTGAACTGTAGGTCAAATTGTATGTTTTGTTAACCTTGTTGGATTTAATACCATTCTGGATATTTTTAAATAAATTAAAATTGAAAATAATTACAGGATTGTGTGTAACAATAATTATTAAATTAGTACGCTTGAACGCTAAAACAAACGCAAGTATGTGGCATCCAGCCAAACTAATGAGTTATTTTTGCAATTCGTGTAATCGCAAAGTACCAAAGTAAATCAAAATGCACTGTGTGTGGTGTTGTACTAAAATATTTTCTATCGCATTTATTTTTAGGAATTTAATTTCATTTAAAAGTACGAAGAGAAGAAAAATGTACATAATAATTGTATCCACTGTGAGCCGTGCTATTACTCACTAGTTTTGTACTTGTGTACAGTTTCTATCACTTCTTCATATTTTTTAAGATAAAGTTATCTAAATATTTATTTTACCTAATAATTGTTGCTATAAATAGGGTCTCACATACTTCATGGCCAGAAATTTGAAGTTTAGTTATCCCTAATAAGTATTTAATTCTAACCTTAAGCATTTTATTATTTCTTATCAGACGGTATGCTATCCTAATATTATAAATGCGAATGTGAGTTTGTTCGTTACGATTTCACGCCTTAACTACTCAATCGATCATCATAAAATTTTGTACAAACACTGTCAGGAGTACGGAGAAGGACATAGGGTAACTTTTATCCAAAAAAAATACCCTTCTCGAGGGATAGGAAAATTAATGTTATGTGGTCGTCGATGATTTTTAACACGTATTTAGGACGGCGCGATACCTTCTGAGGTATTAAGGTGTAATTAAAAACAAATTAGAAGCAAAAACAGGAAAAATAGGTTCGAGAACGACCTACTGTTCGCAGATACTTAGGGATGTGGGGTATTGTAGTCCTGGGAGGTCCAATCAGTCTTGTAATGATGATAAACTTAATTTGTTTTTACAATAAAAATTCTTCAATATTTGATACCAAGTACCCCACACAAAATTCTTAGAGCTAATTTTTTAACACCCTTCATAACTGTATCCGGAATGCCTACGATGCAAATCATACTCGAATTTACCCTTTGTCTTTTTCATCATTCGGGTATGCCATATCCCTGTATGAGGATAATTAGAAGCGACTAAGGGGTTTAATTAAGGTTGCCGGAAGTTAGATTACGGAAACACTGTTCATGATAATGCTATTAGCAATATGTGTGTA